TTATGAGGCAATTCCACGAGTCGTTGGTAATTTACGAAAACTTCCCACGACGAAGTCGACCGATCTGCGACGTAGGCCTGATATAAAAGCGGAATGAAAGCATTTGCGAGCACTCCCTACAAATTGCTCGCCGCACGTACTAAAATACACACACATGTATCCCATAATATAGAATAATTTTTAGATTTTAAATTGCCTTGAGATAATCGTACAGATCGACATTCTCTCGAATCAATTGACGGAGAAAAAGCATAGCTAAAAATTTCACTGATTCAGCAAATCTAATACAGTCGTAATATACGAACATAGTCAGTTTTCTATGTTAAAGTAGCAAAGTTGACAGTTGAATAACAACATTAACAATTTATTAAACCATCGAATCTTTTTATGTTAGTGTAGTTATTAAATTCGCGCAGCTAACTTTTATTTACATATACTTCTGCAAAATATCACTTTATTACACTTCAATAGTCCGATTTTACTGTTGCCCGCTATTTTTACAAGCGTCGAAGACCGCACTCGATTCGAGATTCAAATTTACGAGATTCAAATTTATTTCGTATACGTTGATATTTTCAAAAACAAGTAATCGCCATACGAACCATTTTCGGATTTCGTCGATCCGAGCGCGAATTTTCTCACCGTCGTTTTTAGAAATGCGTCACAAAAATCGTTTCGCCGAGATCAGAGTCCCTCCATCATCTGAAAACAGGGATATCGAAAGAGCAAAAGATTACGGATCCTTTGTCGTTTACGATGTCTAGCGCGATGGTAAGTTTGATTGTCGGTGGTTGCAATTTACGCGGAACGTCAAGATCGCGAGGACTGCTGTGAGAAAATACGCTCGAGATTTGCGCGCGGTGCGAAAAGCTAAGCGAGAAAAAAGTTTTTATTTCGGCGTTTGCGAAATCGAGTTCTTTCCGACGACTTTCTCTCCTCCTGCTCTCGCACCATCAGCTCGAAGACGCAACGTCATTCTACATCTCGTCGTTGCCATTCTGAATGCGGTAAAACAATGTCGACGTATGAATCCACGAAAGAGGTTTACAAACTTCTGGGCGTCCACGAAAATTCATTGTTTATGACGAATGGAGGCACCCTTAAAGGCATACCTAAACGTATTATGTAATATTTTATCACGTGTGTAATCGTCTTACTGATTTATAAGATGCGTTGAAAATTTACAAGCATATTAATTACCGGCGGATCGATTTATATAATTAAAAGTTAAATTTTTTACAAATCATAGTTCGTTATATTATTTTTGTCGTCTTGATATCTAATATTCACTATTTATATTTTTGACATTGTATAGTAAATAAAAATAAGCAGTATTTTTCACATAATTTATTACATCTTTTAAAAAATAAAATTTAATTTGCTTTCTGAAGATCATTAAATTTTGTGTAAAATTTTATATTTTAATTCTTTCTAATTTTACATATATTTATATGTATGTAGATTTGATGACTTGTACACGTATCTAAAATAAAAGATAACGATTTTACAAGCGAAATCGTGCTTAAATTACGACTGCATCGAATTTCATGAATGACACTTTTAGACAGTTTGTTTGCTGTTTTAATTAGCAAGCTCTATTAATTATTCATATATTGTAGCAAAGTCAATCTTATTATTATTGGGAGAAACGTGTTCGCAGATGCATATTTTCGAATTCCTCAAAGACTGGTTTAGTGAAAGTAGAGAAACATGAAAGTTTACAAAGTATCTGCTGAATTTTAATTTAAATAGGAAATCTAACGTTCAATGACCAGACTTTCTGTTTGTTTTAATTTGAAATAATAGATTTACAAAGATTTACGCGTCACAACAAACGATAATGTTCTGTATTATATTTGAAAACAGTTAGAAGCAAATTTAATTAATTATATTTTTCTAAATATTTAATAATATGCATATTGATAAATAGATCATACATGTTATATAAATTTATTTTCAGTTTAAAGTAAATTGCAAATGAAATAAACACAATTTTATTATGTGTTTATATCTCTAATTTGCATAAGAGAATCTTTTAATTTTAAATGTTTAATAGCATAATTATGCTTTGGACAATTCCTCTTAGCAGAGGAAGAATTGTCTAAATATTCTATAAAAATAAATCACACAATGCGCAGAAAAGAGGACAAGATTTTTTCCACGTTATACCATTGCCAGTGCATATATTAACTTCCAGATAATAATAGCAAATGCAAAAGGGAACTTGTTTATGAAGGAAACAAGGACCGCACAACCGCAAAATTTTCCATAAACCTGTCGACACGCATTCCTTCTGCGGTCGTTTCCGAAGCTCGCACTCCTGAGAGCGGTCGTGAGAAAAAGAGAAGGCAACAAAGACGCAGTATTTATAAAGAATCCTAACGACTCCGTAATTAGTGTAATTACGGAGCCGTGTCTTGCGCGGTCTTAATGCTCACGTCACTCGGAACGCGTTCTCCCCGTAATTCCTTCTAATGTATCTGCCGGTGAAAAAGGGCGGCCAGGATCCGGACCTGGAGGGATCTCGAGGAGGAAGGAGAACCTCCGACGCTGCGACAGTACCACTGCAGTATCTAGATCGAAGCTGCACTCCGGTTGCGAACGAGGAGGATCCTCCTCGACGATTGCCAGCCGAGAACGGATTACCTCTAATCTCTGACATTAGCTCCCGCTCTGCATCGACCGTGCTTCGCGCGCTCCTACAGGAATATGTCTCCATTTACTATCTGTTCTTTTTCTCGGCACCTCGTTCGTGAATACCCGAATAAAAAGGATGACGCGGATAAATCTTGGCGGCGCCTGCTAGCGGACTCTCAGTGGAAATCCTTTGGAAACTGCTAATTATGAGAGGGCGCCTGGCCAGCAGCTAAATACGCGCTTTATCCATTCCAACGTGATACCCCGTTTGAATTGCGTAGTTTTAAGGGAAAACTCGTTTCTCTGACTATGTCTATGCTGTTTCTCCGAGTATAATTAACACTTGTAGTAATGATATTACTATTCTCGAAGTATGTAATCAACGCAGTATTCGGCAATTCTGCTTTTAGAAATGCAGTTCAATTTAATTTATTTACTTACTTATTTATTTATGTCAATTAATCATACACGTTTAAAGTAATTTTTGTTAATATTTAACTTATATTTAAAATATGTACTTATTTTCTGTCGTGTATAATTAATTTTATTCGAAGCTATTAATATAATTAACATTAAAATAGCATTATATATCTATTTGAAATTACAAGCTTATAATCATTAAGATTCTTCATTAGTGTGTTTTAAGAATCAAATATTTAAATAGAGGTTTTAGTGCAACTTATTTGCTATTAAATTTACTTGTCGCTATTTTTATTACGAAAATAGATTACGTGAGGAACATTCAGTCCCTCAATGCTACAATTATATCTATTTAAGCTCCAATGACGCATACTTCGCAAGAATATTGTATCGTCGTGTCTGAGTCCAATTAATTCTCAAGTAAGAGGAAATTAGGATTACGACTGTGAAATGGCACGCAGTAATCGTAACGCGCTCAACGAGACGTTGCTAATTGTCGCCGTATGGTTACCGATTTATTGCCCCACTAGCGCTCTACTCCAACAATTTGAACTGTAAGTAAAAGAACAATTAACGGTTGACCGCGACAAATAAAGCAAGTAGAAAGATATTAACGCAGGTGTCTGTAGTGTTAGGTAACACGACTCCTGTATCTGTCATCGATAAGTTTATGTATGCATTGTCGATAAAGAACTTTGAGCCTTCTTTATTATTTATTTTTATAAAATAATAAGCAATTAAAAACGTTACTTTTTGATATTTTATAGATGTATAAACAATTTTAAATAACAATATACAATTTTTTAATGACATCGTATATCATGCATTTAACCAATTAAAACTAATATGTAGTTTAAATACAAAAATCTGCCTATTAATATTCTAGCATTTACCTGAAAACATATGTATATTTTACTAAATAACTCTAAATAAAATTTCTAACAATTTACATTTATTTTTCTTCTCTACCGGAAGTGTAGTAATCGATAAGATTATATAATCTGGGGCATGATCGTGAAGCACATTTGTGTTCTACAGATATATATGCATGGGCATGGATTGTTATATGTTGGACATTGAAAACAATCGTGTAACATGGAAATGACATTTCCAGGTACTAGAAAAAAATATCGTTGGTAGTAATAACGACTCAACAAGTGCGGTTCAATTTAAAAAAAATTTTATATTATATAACAGTCTGCAATATGAAAATAATGTATCTTTTCACCTGCATCATGTTAACGTACAGACAAGAGAATTATTTTAATTTTAGCGTACGTACAAAAATTTGATTTTATTTTTATTTTAAATTTATATAATAGAAGCGTTTCTGTTATATTAATGTTTCTTTCTTTCAGTAAAATATATATATATATTCACTAACATTATTTCAGATTTTGCAGCTATACTTATTTTTTAATCCCTCTAACAAGGCTTCTTCATCTCTGGGTCAGAGATATCACATTGACAGAATATTAAGTCATTGAATCATCAATTGTAAGCTGAAAATGATCCCAAGAAGAATCAAAACATATTGTATTAAATAATTTTTTTCAATTATAATTAACTAATTGTGTAGCATCTATACGTGCATTATTACTGTGCAGTACTTATATTTGCTGTTTTTCCCTTTTAATGTAATTTTAAGGATTGTATGTTTTTGATTTCTATATTATAGAAATGTAAATCACATTTTATATAAAAAGTTTCAGAAAGATATTGAAAACCTCAAAGAAATCGGTCAATTAAATAAATCTTATAAATACAGTGGTAGAATAACTTATGTTAACAGGATAATTCATGAATATTCTTTTCGCCAATTTACTTAGTGAATCTCGTAAACAGTTTCCTTACATGATCAATTGAGGAAGTTTGGGAGTTTAAGAATGTGATGAGTTCAGATCAGAAGGCGTGTTGCAGTGGACATCTAGTGAAAGTAGTTGTGTCGTCGTATAAAAACCGAGGAATCGATGATATGAAGCACACTCAGAGAGACTCATCTCCTCATAGCACGTTCATCATGAAGACATTCCTAGTGAGTAGTAAAATTTTTCGGCAAATTTCTTTTCTATACTAATATCTCAATAGCGCGGATGTATCGTAAGAAAATAAAGTTTTATTGTTTGCCATAAATACACTAAAAATGTGCAGTTCTTCAATTTGTTCAATTTTTTATCATTAGCAGATGTAAATATTTTTTCTTCATTTATAACATAATTGTTAAACTATTTTTAAAACATTAAAAACAAAATATAATTTTTCTATGCTATGTTACATTTTTTATCAATCACTTGCCGTTCGCAAATCTATTTTATTTTTTTTATGTAATTATATAACTAATAATCTCTACTTTTTACAACTTACAATATACGCCATTTATGTTAAGAGAACCGAAATAATTAACTTAT